AGAGACAGAGACAGAGAGACAAGAAGGGAAAAAAATGGAATGAAAGCTTTGTAAATAAGGATGGAATGAGGGACTGAGGGAATGTGGGCTAATAGGAAAAATTCAGGGGCCGGGGAGATGGCTTAATGGAATAAGTGCTTCCCTGGCAAGCGCAAGGGCCTGAGTTCAATCCCCAGTTCCACCAAAATAAAAAATAAAATTTATTTATGAGCACATAAAACATTAAAAGAAAAGAAAAATTCTAGTTATATCATGTGCAAGTACAAATTCCCTGTGATGACAGTGATCCTTACATATACCAACACTGCTGTGGTGAAACCCTAATCCCCACTGTACTGGTATTTGGGGATGAGGCCTTTGTGAAGCAACCGGGTTAGACTAGAGTCTTCACGTGGGATTAGAAAAGACAGGAGCAAGAACAGGAGAGCTTGCTTCCTCTCTCCATACCACAAAAACAAGAATGCAGCTGTCTGCATACCCACAAAAGAGCATGATACTCTGCACCCTCTCTATCACCCTGACTTTGAACTTTCTGTCCCCAGAACTCAGAAGTAAACTAAGAGGTCTATAATATATCATTCTAATAGTCAAACTATTACAGGATTGGCTATAGGCAACCCTGTAACAGTTTTAAGAAATTAAAATGAATTAAGTTATGCATTTATTTTGTAGACTCTGAGGTGCTCTGAAGCATTTCTGGGGAAGGGTTTCAGGATCCTATTATATAAATAAACTGGGCTTGAATATGCCAGACTGGCATCAAACATGTGCTGAAGCTATGTTTTTGTTGCTGTTGGTACCAGGGATTGAATTCAGGACCTTGTACTTACCAAATGGGCTTTTATGCTGCTGAGCTCTTTCCCTGGAGGAAGCTATTGTTTTTCAAAGAGAAAATAGATACAAATATTGGGTAAAAAAGTCCACTCCACGACTGGACTCTGTTGTGAGTGAGGCTATTTGGGAGAAAATGATAGTTCTTCTTAAACCACAAGATCTCTATTGATAGTAGAATGAAGTCTCTGACTACTGCTGATTAGGTGGTAGTATCTGCCCTTACCAGTTAGATTAGTGCTAGATAGACAGAGGTGGCTCATGCTATTAACTGCAGTTTTCAGGTTCCTGTGTTGCCTATGGGTATCTGCCTTGGGATTATACTGGCCAGAGTCTTTGCTGCTTGTGTGAGGTGTCCAGCTTAGAATTCTCTTGTTTAGTCAGGTATATACTAGGATCAGCAGCCCAGGTGTCAGCCAATATACCCTGGGCTTCCCAAGCACGAGCGATAAAGCAAGACCGTGGTTACCGGAGTCCAAAGAGAGGAATGGCATGACAAAACTGTAGCCTGTTGTAGAACACAGCCCACTTGTAACACAGCAGGAAGGGGGCATAATGGATCCTATACCTTTCACCAACCAGTCTCTAACAAGAGGCTTCAAGAAGGATCCTGTCGATGCAGTTCATATAAGTAAGCTTAGGGTGGAAGCAGTGTAGACTTGCACGTGTAAACATTGTATTGTCTCCTTAGTGTAAGAAACTGAAGTAGTAAGATGCAAAAGTACAACAGATATTGTGAAAGGGAAAGAAATTGCTCAAAAGGAAAGAACAACTAAGATAAGGGAAAGGAGAAAGGAAGGGGGAAATACACAAACACACATACATACACATAAGGTAACTAAAATAATTATACTACTAATTTCTATTAGTTCATTGAAAGGAACAGCTAGTGTTTTTTTTTTTTGTTTTTTGTTTTTTTTTTTTTTCTCCCAGAACCAGGGATTGAACTCAGGCCCTTGTGCTTGCCAGGTAAGCACTTATTCTACTGTGTTATCTCCCCGCCCCCTAGCTAGTGTTTATAGTTTTTATCAATGTTACATGCCTACATCTGGTAACCTGAGAAAATACTTTGAAGATAACAATATGCAATAACCATTCTTATTTTTTTTACCCAGAAGAAATAGCTTTATTTACACAGAAAGCCGGAGAGTGAGTAGGATCTGAAAGTATACTGAGCTAAGGATAGAGATCAGCTTCTTAAGGGGCAGTCAGAGCTCATCAACCACGCAGAGTGCTATAGCAGGTTTGCAGTTAGTGCAATCAAGAAAGACCTGTAGGGAGCTAGATGTGATGACACAGCACGTAATTCCAGCACTCAGGAGGCTGAGGCAGGAGGATAGCTGTGAGTCTGCTGGGAAATATATTTGCCACTACATCACCTCAGTGTGCCTCCATTACAAAAAAGATACAGGTTTTCCCCTGTAAAGACATTTCCTCCAAACCTCCCAATTACAAGTATTGCAAAAAAAAAAAAAAAAACAAAAAAACAAAAAAACAGCATTTTACAGATCTTGTTTAGCATTTAGCTCAGAGATCTCACAATCTTCAAATACCACTCTTTATTATTTTTCAGCTATGTATCTATCAAGAAGCCAGAGGACAGCTTTTGCTAGCCCATGGGATCCATTTCCCATGTCCCTAGGGGCCAGGGCTGAAGAGCAGGAGAAGGCTCGGGAAGTGGGGGCATGGGGCTCCCTCACCCCAGCACAGCGAAGCTTGATGGGAAAGCAGGGCTGGTGAGACTTGAGGGAGGGTCCAGGCCCTGCATTCAGTCAGTCACTGGTGGAAGAGGAGGAATACTTGCCATGCTTGTGGTGCTTGTGCACCTTTTTATGAGCTTTCATTTTCTTCCACCTTTTTGTCTATCTCCATCCCTGGGCACACGATGCCAGGGCCCAAAGGGCAAACAGAAGGCATGCCAGAGGCAGGCCAGGGACATGGAGGACAAGGACCTGCAGGTTGGTATCCTGAACCCAGTGGTGGGGGCACAGGATAACTGGGCCCATATGGAGGGAAAGCTGGATTCCTAGGGAGAGCTTTTGGGGGAGGCGGACATAGGAATAAGGCTAGATTGGCTGGTGCTGGATGTAGCAGAAACACAGGATAGGAATGTCGAAGGGCACCCAGAATTCAGTAGATACAGATTTGGCCCTTGATGCCCAGCACTGGGATTCCATATGCTCAGGTGTATCCCACTGTCTTTCTAACACAGATCAGGCTCCATCTGTCCTTCTTTCCAGTCTTATCATTTTTAATTTATTATCTTGTTTTGAGAATCTGTATCTTTTTTAAAATTTTTGTTCCCTTAAAAAAAAAAAAAGTACCTCTGGAGGTTCAAGTGGAAAATAAACATCAGAATGCCAGTCAGATCTCCTTTACAATACCTGCTTTTGTCTTTTTTTTTTTCTTTCTCAAGAGTTTGTAGACTTCTAGAGCCTTACTCTCGCAGACCTTGTTCCCTCCTTCATAACTACTATAGTTACCTTATTTTATACGTTTTCTGCTTATCAGGAAAAATGAAAACATAGTTGGGAATAACAATTATCTGTTTTGAATTAAACCAGGATCTCTCCAAAATTCAGATTGAAGCTCTAGCTCTCGATGCTTAATTTTGCAGCCTCCAAATGGTGTTGAACCAGATTGTTTTTATAAAAGGCAGAGTCACAGAAGCAATTGTAGAGATGAGTCTTCAAGGAGGTCATCAAGGTTAAACGAAGTCATAAGGCTAAGACTCTAATCTACTAGGAATAGAGTCCTTAGAAGTGGAAAAGACCAGTGCTGTGTATATGTGAATGTGCCCCCACACACGGAAAGTCGTATAAATACGGTGAGAACATAGCCATAAAATAATTAGAGAGGCCTTAAGGAGAAACCAACACCTGCCAGCACCTTCAATCTGGGCTTTTCTCTCTAGAACTTAAGAAATAAATTGCTGTTATTTAAGTCAACTATTCTTGTAGTATTTACTTATAACTGCACTAGCCAACTGTGACATCATTGTTCAAAAACATTTTTATTTGTGTTTAGGTTATGGTCATCATCTAACAAAACCTTCAATCTTTACAACCCTAGAAAGAAGGTATTACTAACCCAATTGTCACAGAGCACAAAACTGAGGTTCAGAGAGGTTAACAGGTTAGCCATGCTCGTAAAATAACTTGCAAAGATTGTGGAAACTTGTGCCAAGTTATCTTATTAAGCCACTAAGGTGCTGATAGTACATCTAAATTAAATAAACGAATAATTTATATCTTGCTTGGTGCACTGTTAAATATTAGATATTATCTACATTCGACCCATGCATGCATTTGTAGCTGACATTCCTCTAGCCTGGAATGGTCTTACATATCGCCATCTAATTCATCCCTTTTTATTTTCCGAAATTCAATTTATAGATCACATGTTCTAACATTTATCATGCCCTATCCTCTCATCTCGTTTATTTTCAGTTTCCTAATTAAATTTGTTATTCAATTGCAGCCGCCACTAGATTTGAACAAGTTAAAGGGGAGATGGTGTCACCTTTTTATAGTAAAAAAAAAAAAAAACGATTATTTTAGCAATGGAGAAGAATTCTTTTCAGTTGTTATTACAGATATGTTCCAAAATACAGATGGTGTCATCTTTTAAGCGCCTGCGATACTTCAAGAATGACTACACGGAGAGCGCCCCCTGTGTAACGAGATCCATAAATATTTTGAACGTTTATTTTTGTCTCTCGTGCAACAGTGTGCGTCAAATACGTAATACGACCATCCTTAAACTGTTTTCAGAGATAGCTATACAGTATATACATACGCAAACGTTGAGGCTCAAATTCAAGGCTTTATGCACGCTTGGCAAGCGCGAGACACCAAGCCCATCTTTTTCTCTTGAGCGGCAGTCGTGAGACTCAAAAAAATGGGGTTCCTTTTTCGCTTTCCTATCACAGGAAACACCCGGCCGAAAGCCTTGAGTCTCGGAAACCAGGAATACCTCAACACTAGCGTCCGGACCGCACGTGACCGCTAAACGTCTGCGCGTGCGTCACTCCGATAACGCGAGGATCTTCAGCCTAGTGTGGGGCCATATTCCGCGCTTTAGGATTGGGCGGCGGACGCCCCAACAGGCGGCGCGGAAGTGACGTCAGGGCACGCGGGCGGTGCCGGCCCTGCCGCGCGGTGGCTGCTGGGTGCCGCTCACCTTCCCGCTGCGCGCCTCTCCCCTCCTCCCGTCCCCGCCCCCTCGGCTGCTGGGCTGCCTGGCGTGACTCGGCACTGAGAGCCCCGGAGGAGACGCGCCCGTAGCCAGGTCCTCTGTCCAGGCCTCGGCCTTCCTCAGCCTTTCCCCTTCCTCGCCCCGGCTTTCTTCTTCACTTCGGAACCTGTGGTCGTCGCGGCCTCCTAGGCGGGCTCTGTGTCAGGATGGTTGGTGTGAAGCCGGTCGGGAGCGACCCGGATTTCCAGCCGGAGCTGAGCGGCGCAGGCTCCAGACTCGCCGTGGTCAAGTTCACCATGCGAGGGTGAGGCCGGCTGCGAGCACTCGGGCCCTCGGCTGTCGGTCCGTGCTGCCCCCTCGCTTTTGCCGCGTGCCCCCTTCGGCTCCCGCAGAGTCCGGTGATGGCCGCAGCGCGCGGCGACGCCTGGATTAGGCCTGCGCCTCCGCGCCGAGCCTCCGGAGTCGCCCTGGGGCCGGAGCGCAGGCCTGGAGTCCTGGAGGCCGCCGTCCCCCGCGCCGAGACCCTGCCCAGCCCTTTGAATCCTCTCGCGAGCGGTGTGCTTCCAGCCCGCGCTTGGCCCGGCTTTCTGGGGAGAGCCAGCTGTTGTTTGCATCCCCTCAGTTAGCACCCTTACTTTTCTAGACACTTTTGATTCTCTTCGCTCCCTGCATTTCTGTAAAGCCTTTGGAAGGTTCAGATGGGGCAACCCAGCTAATCTGAATACGTCAAGATGCTTTTAAATGTCCGTAACATTTTTGTTCTTCTTTTGTTGTGGCTTAGACCCCAAGTATATGCATGCAAACACAAATAACAGTATTTGCCTATACATTAGGGTAGAAAGGAGACCAGATATCTGAGTTTCGCTAGACTCCATTTTCTGTTTTGGGTTTTTTTTTTGTTTGTTTGTTTTCTTGGTACTGGGAGTCGCACTCACGACCTCGAGCTTGCCAGGCAGGCCCTGTTTACAGGGTCTCACTATATTGTTCAGGATGGCCTTAAGCTCACTTGGTAGCTTAGGCTGCTCTCAAATTTGTATGATCCTCCTGCCTCAGCCTCCTGAGGCTGAGGGATTGTGCCACCATGCCCGGCGTCCTGTGGTGTCATTTAAGTACAGGCATAATTGTAGACACAGTGAAGAACTGTTATAGTTGATATTTAATTTAAATTACACTATTTCAGTGGAATGAAAATTAAATTTTCTTTGTGGAATTTATAGAACATTTTTGTAGTTAAAATATCTATGTTATGTTTATAAGCCTCAAAAGATTTTATGTAGCTTTACAGTTCCTTTACCATGTTAACAAGTAATGCATTCTCCCGACCTCATTGTCAGCATCGCTCTGGGTTTATGTGTGTGTCTATGCAATTTTAAAAAATCTTTTTTTTTTTTTTTTGGCGGAACCGGGGATTGAACTCAGACCCTTGTGCTTGCTAGGGAAGCGCTTATTCCACTGAGCCATCTCCCTGGCCCCTTGTGTGTCTATGTAATTTTAAATATTAATTTAATTTTTAATACTTATTTTTTGAAACAGATTCTTACTATGTAGTGCTGACTGGCCTTTAACTTGTTTTGTCAATCCTCCTGCCTAAGCCTCTTGAGTTCTTTAATTATGAGCATATACATCACCCCCCTAGATTTGTGTACACTGATGTTAGTATTAAACCCTCAAACAACCATTTTCAGTAAGATCCAATCAGAAACCTCTTATGTCAAAGTTAATGTCATGTCAGTTTAGGCTGAGGGCACAGTTTCTTTTAATACCTTTTGGGGCAGTAGGTACTGGGTATTGAACCCAGGGCATTAGCAAGGAGCAGCATTCGCAACTCTGTATTTTTTCTTTTGAGACCAAGTCTTGGTAAGTTGCCCAAGTTGGGTTGCAACTTGTTCCTCCTACCTCAGCTGCCAATAGTGCTGGGGTCATAGGTGGGCACCACCACACCTGTTGTTCTTTTTTTTAACATTTCTTTTCCAGTCCTGTTTCAAGGTATATTCCTTATTTTCAATATCCGTTCTTGTTTGTTTTAATGTAGTTTAGTACAGGGCCCATAGAATCTCACTACACAGATTGGACTCGTAGTGATCCTCCTGTTTTCAGCCTCCCAAGTGCTGGGATTACAGACTTGTTCCACCACACCCAGTCTCAGTCACCATCTCAGCACTCCTGTGGGCGGAGCTGGCACTGCACACTGGGGAATCAAACCCTGTTAGTCCACTGAGTTATCTGGCAGGCCCTTTAACATTCATTCTTTGATCAAACTTGTCTAAAATTGATTACACTTAAACAATAAGTACATTGTTTGGGAATTTTCAGTGGCTCTGTAGTATTTTTTCTTTAGGCCTTTTAAAAATGGTTTTATATATATATGTATATGTATATATATATATATATATATATATATGTATATCACAAAATGTACCACTTAAATAATTTTTTTCTTTTGTTTCATTTTAGTGAGAAAAAAAGATAAAATAGCAATAAAACAGTTTCAAAATAGGTTAGGACAATTATAATACTTTGCATATTGTTTTTGTAGTAGCTATTCAGAGGACAAGATGTAGACATAGTGTCTTGTCTAAACAATATTAGTACAAGTCTTCTCAATGAACTGAGAAAATAGCTGTATATCTATCCTATCTTGTGTATACATGTATATATTTTTTTCAATAATTTTTATTTGTTTATTTTGTTTTAGGGTCAGATTGAAGTAGGGTCTTGCTATATAGTTCAGCCTGGCCTCTGCTTGCAGCAGTCCTTTTGCCTCACCCTCCCAAGTGTTGGGATTGTAGGCATGTGCCACTACACCTGGACTGTTTTGTGAGGCAAGGTAGCTTTGAATTTTCTGTGTAGTACAGGCTGGCTTCCAGCTTGCAGCAGCCCTTCTTCCTCGGCTTCCCAAATGCAGGGATTACAGACTTACACCACCATGCCTGGCTACCACTTCAGTAATTTTAGGCATATAAATCAGTGATATTGAGAACATTCACAATTTGTGTAACTGTTATTATTACTTCATCATCTGAGAAAGAAATTCTTACTGAATAGGAACTCCCCAATCTCATTTCTCCAGAAGGACAAAACTCTGTACTTCACTGAACAATACACAATCTCACTCTACCTACCCACCTTCTTGGTAACCTTTTTTTTACTTTCTGTGTCTGGGAATCTGCCTTTTTGGAGATCATATAGGAGTGAAAGCATGCTAATATTTGTCCTTTTTCTTTTTCTGACATATTTACCTAGTGTATTTTTCATGGTTAAACATTGTAGCCTGTATTAGAATTTTTTTTTCCTTTTTATGGCTGTATAAATACTCCACTATATGTGTATACCACATTTTGTTTATCTATTTTTCAGTTGAAGGACCCTTGGATCGTGCTTATCTTTGGCTATTGTGATACTACTGTGCTATAGATATTGGCATGCTAGGAGCTCTTATATTCTGCTTTCTTTTTTTTTTTTTTTTTGTATTTTAGGGAAGGGTCTACAGGGTGTTCAGTGTCTCACTACTAGATTGGACTCATAGTGATTCGCCTGTTTACAGCCTCCCAAGATGTAGTCTGCTTTCAGTTCAGTGTTCAGTACGTACAGCCTTAAGTGATTTAGGTATGGCTCTGCATACAAACTAATCTCTTAGACAATTCACTCTGGAAATCTTTTTCCTTCTACAAAATGGGAATAATAACATGTATTTTTTTCATGTGGTTTCAAGAAAGAAATTTATGTGAACTCTATATTCTAGTAATATTTTAAAAACAAATGTCTCCACATAGTTACTTCTTGAATATGCCCACATACATTTTAGTAGTTGTAAGGAATAGAATTTGTTATGTCCAGATGACTGTTAAGAGAATACATATAATAATATATATTTTCACTTATTAAATAGTATGGCTGATTTTTTTTTGTGTGTGTAATGGTGAATGTATCACTTTTGTAAATTTTTTTGTTTGTTTGTTTTGGTTTTTTTGTACTAGGAATTGAACTTAGGATCTTACACTTGCCAGGCAGGTGCTGTACCATTGAGCTATCTTCCAGGCCCTGTATCACTTTTGTAGGCAAAATTTGCTATACAGCTAGCTAGCTGTAGCTTGCTTGCGTCCTTGTCTTGTTTTGTCTTCTCTCTTGTCTTGTCTTCTGTTCTGTTCTTTTTTCTTTTTTTTTTCCCTACCGGTGATCAAATTCAGGACTTTGTGCTTGCCAGGCAGGCGCTTATGCTGCTGAGCTATTTCCTGGCCCTCTCTGTAGTTTTTTAAGGCAGGATTTCACTATATACTTAAGGCTGGTCCTCAACTCTGTTGTGTAGTGCTCATTGGCTTTGGACTCACAGCAGTCCTCCTGCTTCAGCCTCCTGAGTATTGAAACTACAGATATGTGCTACCATACCCAATATATATATTTAGTTTTCTTAAGGTTGGTGTTACTTTGTAGTTGGGTATCATTGTTTATCTTCTTAAAGGATGTTAAGTCCCAGTGGTTAAGGTAGCTTGTCCAAGTAATACATTCATTACATTTATAGTATATTAACTACATATTGCTGAGGAGTAAAAGTACTTTAGGGAAATAGAGTTATACTAGTCTGTAGAAATCAGGCAGATAATGTTAATAAGTAAAATGAGTAGCTGTATGACTAAGGCATGTCAAGACTTTGGATTAATTTTTTTTTAGAGATAGAATCTTGCTGTATATAGTTCAGGGTGCTGTTGAACTCATTATATAGCCCAAGTTGGCCTCAAACTCATGGAGATTCTCCTGATTCAGCCTCCTGAGTGCTGGAATAATCTGAGCCACCATGCCTGGCTCAGATTAAACTTTTTAATTGAAAGTTTATTTTCTATTAAGGAAAAAAAAGCTATTAAAATATAATGTATATAAAAATGTGCCCAAATGCTAAACTGTATGCTTTGACAAAGTTAGCAGTGATTATGCCTGATCAACCAAAACTTAGATCGTGAAATAGATTTTTTCTTTCTTTTGAAACAGGGTCTTACTATGTAGTTCAGACTGGCCTTGAACTCACTATATAGTTTAAGCTAACCTCGAACTTGGAATTCTCATTACAAGCACATGCCTGTAATCCCAGCACTTGAGAGGCTGAAGCAGGAGTATGTGACTGTGCCTGGGCTTACATAGTCGCATCGAGGTTAGCTTGAACTGCATAGCAAAATCCTGTCTCAAAAACCATCCCTCCTCCCCAAAGCATGTAGTTTGATTTTGGTAATCAATTTAGAAACGACAACAAAGAAAGGCACTATGTAGATCACTATTTTGCAGTTGTTGGAATGGCATTGAGGTCTGAGACTAGAGATAGTGTTATCAGGTAGTTCTTTTAAAAATGACTCACCAACTAAATGTATTACAGGTCCTTTTTGCCTCAAACAGAATTGATGAGACATGCTAAAAACAATGTCAAAAGTTTATTTGGAAAGTGAGGGTGAGGGAACACTTGGCTCTGTAGGGCAAATGTGGGCCTAATAAAAGAAAAAGAGAAAAAATGAAACTTCATCCTGGTCTGGGAGCACAAGGTGGTCTACTGTGAAGTCAGGAGAGCAGCCTCCTTGTGGTGTCCTGTCTGTTTTATGCTGTCTGTGTCTGTGAGAACTTCCTCGTTTGAGGTCCTGGGAATTATTAGGCATTGTTCTGGGGTCTTATAATTATTACAAGAGAGTATATGTATTTTATGTATTTAACATTTGAATGTTTACACAAGCTATTCAAGACAGTGCTTTGGCTACTATATCAATTAACAAAGAAGTGCTAGCAAGTTCATAAAATAAGTTATATTATGTCTGCTAAAAAAAGTTATACTTGTTAATGAGACTGCAAAGTGCTTTTTCATAGAAAGTCCCTCTTGGATTGGATTTAGAAACTGACTGTTCTAGTCATGGTCCTGCCACCAAGTAGGGTGTTTGATCATAAACAGGTCCTTTAACTTTTTTTTTTGTATTTAGTATAGGGTCTACAGGGTGTCACTACACAGATCTTACTTGTGATTCTTTTGTTTTCACCCTCCCAACTGCCGGGATTATAAGTGCGCACCACCACGACCAGTCTTATCTTTTCTGGTTTTTAGTACTTATAAGGTAATTGTGTTAGGTTACGTTGATCTTTACATGTAAGCTGTAGGTTTATACTATTCTCTCACGAAATATAATGTAACAACCTTCCGTGTCTTTTTTAAAATTTTTTTATTTTTTTGGTCTTTCTGAGACAGAATTGTTGTGGCAGTTCAGACTGGCCTTCAGCTCACTTTGTAGCCCAGGGTGGTCTTGAACTCAGCCAATCCTGTCTCAACCTCCCAAGTACTGGGATTACAAATTTGTGCTATCATACAGGGCTGTTTAACTCTTGAATGCGCTGGTAAGAAAAGCAAACAGCACTTAAAATCATTAATCATCTGCCAACAGTGTTTGCACACCTGTAGTGCCAGCACTTTGGGGGACTGAGGAAGAAGATTGCAAGGTCAAGCCCACTCTGGGCAGCTTAGAGATGTAGCAAGACCCTATCTCTAACGAAACAAAACAATGGGCTGGGGATGTAACTCAGTTGTGAAGCCAGTGAGTTTAATCCCCATTGCTCTCTGAAAGACAACAAACAACCAACCCCAAAAAGCACTATCAATATGAGTGATCGTGTTATGAAAATATGTTGTAATATTTATGTTCTTTTTATTTGTATGTTTGTGTTTCTCTGCTTTAATTTATTTCAACTTTTGACTGATGTTCCAACCTATGGCTAATTAAACTTAAAGATTCCAAATCAGGTTAATTCTTGAAAGTAAACTAACATGGTAACTGTCTTAGTTTGCTCTTTGCGGAGACAAAATACTTGACACCCAACATTAAAGGGGAAAAGATTTACTTAGTTCCAAGTCTGTAGTGTTTTCAGTCCATCATATGCTAGCTCTAAGGCAGGGTGGCTTGGCACACAGGCATCACAGAGGGGAAACAGTTCATGGTGGGCAGAAGGCAGCAAAGCCCCTTTTGTATTAAGGGGTAGCCACAACTCTTTCTATCCCTTATAGTTTATCCAAACTACTTAGGGCAGGTAGCACTCTCAGCCTTTATCATTGGTGCTCTTGATCTAGCATTGCACCATGAATCACTTCTAGTTTCACATGATCTAGATCTAGCCACCTTTGAAAAAGGCCCATCTGTGACTGTATGAGGCTTTGGGGAAAAACATCTGAACACTAGCCATATAACACTGTTCGATGAAGTCTGTTCAGCTACTAGAAATATGCTTAACACCAGTTAGCTCATACATAATTGCTGAATAGAGGAAAGATATCAGTTCAATGTGGAAATTGTTTTTTTTTTCTTTTTCCTGAATGGTACCTTTTTGTTGTTGTTATTATTATTTAAAGAGAATACAAAATAGTAAAAAAAAAATTAGAAATGATACAAATATAGGTGGTATAATAAAAAAGGATAAATAATTGTTTAAAAAGATGCTGCTTTTAATCCCTCTCACCCTCGCCCCAACATACTGTCCATCATTCTTGCTTTGAACGTACTTCTCCCTTGTTTTTTTGGTATAGGAATCAAATTCAGGACTTTGTGCTTGCCAGGCAGGTGCTTACGCCACTGAGCTATTTCCCCATTCTTTCCCATTGAAATGTTCACTGTATTTTTCAATCACCCTATGTGTAATTTTTTTTTTTTTTTGCTAGATACCACTTAGTTTTTGAATTATTTTTTCACTCTTCTAATATAGCAGTCCTTTCCTTTTTGTTTAGTGCTTTTTGTATTAAGAAACCTTATCCAGTGTGTTTCTTTTTAAATTCCATACTGTTTTTACTATCTGCATTTAAATCTACAATCTATCTGGACTTGGTTTTTGTGTATGAAGTGAGGTGGGCAATGAGAATTCATTTTTTTTTTTTTTTTCCTATGAGAATATACAGTTGATCCAGCACCTACTTATTGAAAAGAATATCTTTGGGTTTGTTTTGTTGTTGTTGTTGTTTTTCTTTTCTTCACTGTGTAGCCCATGTTGACCTTGAATTTGCAGCAATCTTTCTGCCTCAGCTGCCTGTGTACTGGGATGACAGGCATGTGCCACCACACCCAACTTTTAATTACTACAACTTTATAATTGTTCTTAATGTCTTGCAATGATCCATTTTTGAGTCTGAAAATGGCTTAGGTTGTTTTTGGTATTTTTTTAAACAAATCTTAGAATATAAATTTGTTTTATAAGAAAAAAACTTCTGGAATTTCACATCAACTAAAAATCAAATTGAGGAAAATTGCTATCTTGACAAAATTAAGTTTTCTTGTAAACATTGAGTTTTAGGGCTGGCCACATAGCTCAGTGGATTAAAGCACCTGCTTAGGAAGGTGCAGGGACCGGGGTTTGATCCCCTGTACTGTGCTGGCCCCACCCCTGGGGTATGCTGAGAGGGTTATACAACTGAGACTGGGTGTGGTGGTGCATACCTATGATCCCAATGCTTGGGAGGCTGAAAACAGGAGGATCACTATGACTCTAGTCTGTGTGGTGACACCCTGTGGACCCTGTACTAAATACCTTAAAAAAAAAATTGGGTTTTTCAATTCATAAGTACAGTATATGTATATTCCGTCATGTTGGGAGTTTTTGATTTCTGAGAGCAATGCTTGGAAGGCATTATATTAAACCTGAGATTTCTATAATACTTGTATTCGTTAAGACAGTATAATATAGGGCTGGGTATGATGGTGCACCCCTATAACTTCAGCATTCAAGAGGCTGAGGCAGGAGGACTGCCATGAGTTTGAGCCAGGCCTGGGCTATATAGTTAGTTCAAGGCCAGCCTGGGTATATAGCAGGAGCCTATCCTCCCACCCCACACCCTCCCAAAAAAGAAAAAAAATAGTATTGACGTAAGTGTTGTGTACATACCCTTGTGGAAAAGACTAGAGTCTTGAGCCACAATTACTAGTTTTTTAAAGTCAGGGAGATGGCTCAGCAGCATAAGTGCCAGCCTGGCAAGCATAAGGTCCTGAGTTTGTCTTCCGTACCTGCTCCCAAGGTATCAATTTGTTTTATGTTTCAGTTGACAAGTACTTTTAGAGTACACATTACCAGGTATGGTATACATGTGTATTCCTAGCATTATGGAGGCCAAGGAGTGATCTCACTTCAATGCCAGCCTGCATTACATAGCTCTGTCTCAAAAAACAACAATAAAGTAAAATTTCACCCTTTCCTTTTTACAGGTGTGGACCATGTTTGAGGATTGCTCCAGCCTTCAGTTCTATGAGTAATAAATATCCACAGGCTGTTTTCTTGGAGGTAGATGTACATCAGTGTCAGGTAAGGAAGAAGAGTCCTTTTTAAAAGTTTTTAATCAGCTTGAGATCCAGCACTTAATACTGTCCATTAATTATTTCATAATACAGTTATTTCTCAGAATATAGGAAAATGCCAGGCAGATATGGTGGTACTTGCCTGTAATTCTTTGCACTCAGGAAGCTGAGGTAGGAGAATCACCATGAGTTTGAGGCTAGCCTGGGCTACATAGTTCAAGGCTAGTCCAAATTACATAATGAGACCCTGTCTCATAAACACCCTCCCCCCAAAGAAAAAGAAAAGGGGAAAAAAAAAGAAAAGCTACATGCCATTTTGACCACATCAGTTAAGAAAAGTACTATACCACATTATTAATAATTTCAGGTTTGTATAAATGTTTTTGACATAAAATTATTATATATTACACTGCAAATCTGTAGAATAATTTCTTTGTACTACTGAAGCATTGGTTGATTATAAAGTCACAACAGGAAGTTTTGTTTATTATAATTTCTTTGATACAAAGTCTCTGCTATGCAGTTTAGACTCATAGTAATCCTCCTGTGTCAGCCTCACTAGCGCTGGGATTACAGGTGTGCTCCACCATGCCTGGTTTTAGGGCTGGCACAGCACATCTGGGGTTCCAGGGCCCCTGGGCTGGCATGGCATGAGGTACCAGGGGTTGAACTCAGGTCCTTCTGCTTGCCAGGTAGGTGCTTGCTTAGACTGCCAAGCTATTTCCCCAGCTCTCTTTGTTATAATTTGATTTGAATTTGTGATTTTGTTAATTTTACCTGCAAAGCTGTGTATTTAACAGAAACTTTAAAACATTGATTACTGTTGATTGAAATGTTGTAGGTAAATTACCCCAATGAATTATTCGGAATGGGTTTATAACAGTTCTGCATTTGTATTTATGTAGAAATACAGGGAATTGGTAAGAAGAACTTAGAAAGGACCTTTCGTGTACTAGTCTTATTCTAAGGAACCTCTTTACAGTACTATAGCTTTTTTTTTTTTTTTTTTTTTTTAATGAAGGAAGGCTAAAGGAAGACATACTTAGGCCATCTTTGTGCTTTTTTTCCCCCTTTAAATGATAAAGAGGCTGAGTGTGGTAGCATACCTCTGTAATTCCAGCACTCAGAAGACTGAAGCAGGAGTATCACTGTGAGTTCAAAGCCTGCCTAAATTACATAGTGAGCTCTTGCCTCAAAAAAAAAAAAAAAAAAAAAAAAAAAAAAAAAAAAAAAAAGAATAGGATAGTGGTATCTTTTTATAGTAGAATATGTAGAGTAAATATGTAAGGAATACATAGAGTGTACATAGGGTAACAGTACATAAAGTGACACATTGCTTTTTTAAAAATATTTGTCATAAAAAGTTGGAATCATGCTACTCCATTGTTACTATTAGCTAGTTTCCATCCAGTAAAATTGTGGAACTAGGACAGAATTTATATACTGTTCTGAATTTTTGAGACAGGATCTCACTATGTAGGTCAGGCTGGCCTTCAATTCAGACCAATCTTTCTGCCTTAGCCTCCTGAATCTTGAGTGAGATTATAGATGTTCACTACCACACTTGGTTGGGACAGAATTAGTTTACTTTTTTGGTGTCAGAAATTGAACTCGGGACCTTGCACTTGCCAGGCAGATGCTGTGCCAGTGAGCTACATTTCCCGGCTCTCAGACAGAATTTAAAAAGATAATTGCTGAACAGTATGTTCAGTTAGGGTGCATAGGTGTCATTCTACTAGAGTAGAAATGGGGGTTGTAGTGCAAAAGTACTGCTTCCTTTTTATAGATGGGCTGACCATTTCTTAAGTATGTTTTTTTCTAGCAGCTGTGTTTTTTTGTGGTATCAATTTCCTTTTTGGATCTTTTTTGAGAAATCTGTACTATACAGTTATGAAAGAGCTGTCTGATAAGTATAATTCTCTATTAGAAGCCAAGTGGATGAAATATTTAATAGTTAAAACATGATTTTAAAAAGACATGGTGGGGGCTGTTCTTTACTGTGGGTATAGAAGTCTTGCAGCTGTGTCCCTGTGGAAACTCTTAAGAGACACAGGTCTGCTTTTTTTTCTTAAATAACCATGTATTTTACATACGTTTAGTTTGTGCTGAGAATATTTAACTTCTATAGAGTTATAAAATGAGTATTTAAAGTGGTTTTAAGTTTCATTTCAATTCATAGCACTGTTTTAATTTGCCTATTCTAGGGAACAGCTGCCACCAACAATATATCAGCAACACCTACATTTTTGTTTTTTCGAAATAAAGTGAGAATTGATCAGTATCAAGGAGCAGATGCTGTGGGACTAGAAGAAAAAATCAAGCAGCACTTAGAAAATGACCCTGGAAGTAATGAGGATACAGACATTCCAAAAGGCTATGTATGTAGATTGAAAAGTAAAATGTTCTCCTTGACTCTGTATGTAAAATGACATGAATTTTAATGTGTAACTATTGTATAATGAACTCCCTTTGTTGCCACTTACTTTCTGTAGTATTCTGTCTGTTTTTAAGAATATCCTCTTTCCTGGCAGTCTGTTTCAGAATCAAATGTGACTTTAGTATCACAGTTTCTTAAAAGTAAATTATTTTTCAGAGTAACTGAAAAACTGAAGAACTTAAAGAATATATTTGAAAAATCCACAATATAGGTAGTTATACTATAAAGCCTTTTAGTTTAAGAGCTATTGAGGAAGGAAGCAAAAATTCAAAAGTAATATTTAGTAGTAGCAGAATTGCTTTCGTAAACTGGTAAATTCTGTAAATATTATGTGATTTCCTAACTTTTCTAGTAAATAAGTTACTTCATTGGCAAATCAAAGAATGAATTTCTGTCTTAAATTCATGGTATATAAGGAGAAACCTCACTTGTCAGATAAATATGAGAAATTCTTTGCATGTGGTAGGGAAAAAAGTGGATGTCAAGTATAACACAATGCTGGCACGTTTTGAGTTGGGAAAGTACAATTGGTATTTCTTTAAAATAAAACTGTAGGGTTAGGACTACAGCTCAGTGACACAGCACCTGCCTGTCAAGTGTGAGGACCTGAGTTTGATTCCTAATACCCAAAAATAAATACATAAATAAAATAGAACTGTAATTTGAAACTTGTAACGTCAGGTGGAAAGTATTAAAATACTTAAGTCACGGTTGATAATTACTAAACCAGACCCCTTTTGCCTGTCATACAGTATGCCAGGCACTGAAATGAGATTTGTAAAAGAAAAAGTTTATGTTCAAAGCCATAGCCAGATTTTGGAGAGATAGAGCATCTCTCAAGTCTGCATTCCAAAGTAGGTTTTATTGGTGATTTCTGGGATAAAGAAGCAGGATCATCTAGGATATAGAGGAAAGTGATTGGAGATTTAAAAAAAATAATAATAAAAGTGAAGTAATTGGTGGTCTAAATAACTTAGATAATTATTGACACCATCACATTAGAGGTCTTATCTGCAGCAAAACTAGTGGCAGTCTAACATAATTTCATGGTCAGCATCTCTTACTTCTCAGTTGGTGTAGCTTCCTATTCTAAGATGCTGCTGTTCTGAGACTAAGTTCCCTCCCTCTTAGGATCATCCTAACTAGACTTTAAGATGTCTCTTAGGACCACATGTTCTGTGAAACATATGAGTTTTGATGAACTTATTAGGAAAATACTCAGTAAGGAAAGCATTCAACTCCATTCTGATTTGGATGTTATAAGGGAGGTATGGGGGTACAGTAGAGTCAAAGAATTAAAAAGTACAAAAAAGGCTAGTGTAAATGAGATGAGGGTAGTAGTGCTGGTTAGCTGGCAGTTACCATGGTTAGGGTTCTGTTCTCTCACAGAGTCCTACAGTCAGAGATCTTCTTTTGGAATTTTTTTTTTTTTTTTTTTGTGTGTGTTTTGCTCCTTGAATGCCTTCAGGGCACTTTTGCATGGCTGGAGTGTTGTGGGGATCGAACTACAGCAAACTGAGGCTGCCAGCATTGTGGACGCAGCCACTTAAAGAACTGAGCTAGGGCTGGGCCCCCAGAGATCTTCTTTTGATAATTCCATTCTTGGTGTCTTAGTTAACTTTTCTCATTGGTAGGACAAAAATATCCAACCCCAAAGGTTCAAGAATAGGTTCATTTTGGCTCACAGCTTGTAGAGTTTGAGTCCAGATAGCTAGCCCCAGGGGCAGGGTGTCATGGCAGATGGGCATGACAGAGGAGAAACAATTCATGGCATGGCAGACAGGAAGAAGCAAGCCTTCCTTGCGTCTTTCCATTGTATTCCTTCCAGACTTCAAGTCTGATTGGTGCCACAGAAAACTAGAACGGGTCTTCTCAGTAAATCTATCACCCACAGATCTATGTTTAACCAATCAGTGGACTAATGTAGTAACACACTTTTATCCATGATCCAGCCATCTCCCAAAGCCTCACCTATGAGCTCATGAGGATTAAGGGAACATCTAGATCAAAGCCATAGCACTTGGAAATGGTTTTCATGTCCTTGGCAAGTGCTTCTGAACCACAGGAGACTGTATATCTATACTTCTAAGACCTAAGAGAGATTATATCCCGTGGAGCTTGATTTCACTGGCACTTTCTGGAAATTGTGTGTGTGTGTGTGTGTGTGTGTGTGTGTGTGTGTGTGTTTGTTTGTTATAGGGGATCGAACTTGAGATTCTAGGCATTCCAGACAGGCACTTATGCCGCTGAACTATCTCCCCAGCCCTCTTTTGGAAAATTTTTGGGAATGACTTAACTTTTTTTAAAAAAATCTGTTTGGTCGTTGCAGGGTCTCATTATACAGCTTGGACTCGTAATGATCCTCCTGTTTTTCAGCCTCCCCAGTGCTAGAATTATAGGCATGTGCCACCATGCCTGGATCTGGCCTGCTCAGCCAGCCCTGCGGGCTGGGCTGGCGTGCATGTGGTAGTGGGGATGGAACTGTGGTACCTGCACTAGACTACTAGACTAAGCTTGCCTAAGCAGGTGCTTTAGTCCTCTGAGCTATCTCATTGGCCCTGGCAATGACTTAACTATAAACTATCGTGTTAATGTCTTTATTTTTCTTTTACATATTTTCAAAGGTTATTTCCTTGAAAAAGCCTAATATGCACAACAGTCCAATGTTAGCTGAAGGGATACTTCTTGACACGTCAGCCAAATGTAATACTGGTGTTTTGGCCTCAGGAAATAAAAAGCTGAAGAAAAGTTTGAAGAAACAAAAGTTAGTTTTTAATGCAGGTATTATGGAAAAAATGTCAAAAGCTAGTAAAGCCTTTTTTTTTTTTTTGGTCCTATCAGGTAGCAGTCACCTAATTTTGGTCTTACAGGTTTATTAACTATTTAGAACTAGAAATCTGTGTTCAGGAATATCATTGTCTTTACAACACAAATAGAAACTTAATGATAGTAAGTCACCAAATGAAAATGTGCTTCTTAAGTAGATTTAAGTTTAAACAGTACAAAAATATATTGGCTGTTTTTGTAAAATGGTAGGTTCTTTTTTGTTTTGTTTTGCTTTGTTTTCTTTTGTTTTAAAGATCAAACCTAGAATCTTTTGCATGCTAAACAAGCAGTCTACTACTAAAATACCTCCCCAGTGTAAGGAATGTTTTTTGTGAACATAGTGACTTCTGTTTTTTATTTTTATTTATTTATTTATTTAGTTTTTTGAGATAGGGTCTTATATAGTTTAGGCTGGTCTTGAATTCACCGGGTAGAACAGTGTGGCTTGGAACTTCTCACAGTCTTCCTGCCTCAGCCTTATATTCCAGATGTGTACCACTACACCCAGCTTTGACTTTTAGTTTTTATAGTTTTTGAAGTATAGAAAAATGTAAAACATTTTTTCTTTCCTATATTTACTAAAAGTAGGCTGTTGGTAGTATGACTTCAAATATTCTCCCTCATGTTGTCTTACTTCTCTAGAAATTTGAAATCCAGGAACTGTTGGATAGAACTGAGAGTTTATTAGTGTATGTCAGTTATTTTAGGGCCTTTAAATTCTAGCTTTTGGCCTACACATTTCTCACATTTATCAAAATGAAATCAGACGTTATTTAATCCTAATGTATGTAGTAAGTACAAAAAAATTTCTAACCCAGAAGTGTAGAAAGGCTTATTTTACTTTCCTGTGTGTCTTTTGATGGATTTTCTCCTTTCTTAAAAAAAAAAAAAAGAAACTATTTTTAAAAAGTCTAACTGGATGTGGTGGTGCACACCTGTAATCCCAACGACTGATGAGGCTGAGACAGGATTGTTGTTTGAGACCATCCCAGGCTACATAGAGTTTAAGTGAGACCCTGTCTCAAAATGCCAACAACAAAAAAAGTCAAGAGTAGTACAGTAGAACATGTATATCATTCACCTATGTTGTCTAATTGTAAATGTTTTGTGCTTTTTATACTTCTTTACTATCCATATTTCATTTTGCCAGAATCCTTTATGTATAAATTATAGATGACTTGATGGCTCCTCTCTAAATATTGTAACATGTACCTAATGTCCTTAGATAGCCAAACATTTTCCTATTAATTGTATCATTATCACTCCTAAAACACAATACCTGTAATTTCTTATGTTCTGATTTCCTTAATTGTCTCTCAGATGGCCTTTATAGGTTTTTTTCTTCTGTTTAGGATCAATAGATAGGTTCTGTGCATATTTTCAGAATGTAAATTGGGATTTATGTCAAATAAGCAGTATAATGCTGGTTTTCCCAGACCTTGTTGTATAACAAAATATTTTAATATAATTATTTAAATGTGATCTTTTAAAACTTCACTCAAAATGTTATTTTGAACAGAACATCATTTATGCTGGGTGTGGTGGCATAGGCCCATATATATAATCCAAGCAGTTGGGATGCTGGGGTAGGAGGACCTCAATATAAAGGTCAACCTGGAATACATAGCAAGACCATGTCTCCAAAAACTAGAAACAAACTCACTTCTTTAGTTTATTTTCATCATAAGAAATCGAAATATGTTTGGGGTATTGCCTTCACGCATGAAATCATAATCCTTGATGTACTATTGAAGTGGTTCATAAGTAGACATGCAAGACATAAGGATTTAAAAGATTTTCCAGAACTGCCCTTTCATGACAAATGTTAAGTTCAGACTAATTCTACTATAGCACTTGCTTTGTAAAGCCCTCCCACCCCCATCTTTCTGGACTGGATCTACTGTTAGCCCAAATAAAACATTTAATGTTAACATTTGCCTTTGAAGGCAATTAGGCTATTCTATGAATAATTAGGGACCTATACTAATGTATTACATCATTTTGATATTTAATTTGACATGCAGAAATGTCTTTCAGAAATACATTTTTCATCATAAAAATCTGAACAAATGATAGCTGGGCAGATAGCTCAGCTGATTAAAATACCTGCTTAGGCAGAAGTAAGGATCAGGGTTCAATCTCCCTGCCCCCCAGGCTGCACTGAAAACTGATTGAGACTGGGTGTGGTGACATGTGCCTGTAATCCCACAGCTTGGGAGGCTGAAAGCAGTAGGATCACTACAAGTCCAATCTGTGTAGTGAGACCCTGTAGACCCTATACTAAACACAAAAAAAAACCAAACAAAAATCTGAACAAATGATCAATAATTTGTATATAGTAATACAAATGTAACTTTTAATTTTTTTGGTAACTTTAAAAATAGTCATTGGTAGGACTGGCAAGATAGCTCAGTGGACTAAGTGCCTGCTTTGGCAAGTGCAGGGACCAGGGTTAGGTCTCGGATCCCACAAGCTGTGCCAGCCCTGTCCCCGTCCCGTCCCCCCCCCCCCTGTGCTGAGCCACACCGAATCTGGGTGTGGTGGCACACGCCTGTAATCCCAGTGCTGGGGAGGCTGAAAACCGGAGGATCACTACAGTCAGAGCTGCATAGTGAAACCCTTTACCAAATACATAAATGAAAAACATAAATAAATTATAAAGTCATTGTTTAGTAGATTAAATGTATAATTTTGTAAGGAATAGTTTACCAAAATAAAAACTTCACTAGAAACAGGACATGTACACAGGCCATTTGCCCTTGAGATACTGAGAAAATGGTAAAAGAGTTCTTCCATTAAGGTCCGTGTGACTTCACAGGTGAAAGTGTTGGTGTGTTTTTAAAAATCAAGTGATCTCGTGGTACAATAATTACTGAAGACCATAAATAAAAGGAAAGAAGTTCCCAATTTCTTTTTCTGTTATTATTAAAAAACTGTATTATAAACTTCTCTAGAACATAAAATGATTATGTATCAAGACTTTGAAACTTTTCGAACTGTATGTAACATAAATTTATTATTATAATGTATTTATTTTCTGCTTTCCAACCTAGAAGATATACTGCAAGTTAACAAGGGGGGAAAATAAGTGCACATAAAAATACCCATCTCAAAGCTAAAAGCAAATCCAGTCAAGAAAAAAATTCTATAGCTAATATGAAGACAACAATATGCAATGTATTAATTATTGTAACTATCCTGCTAACCTATTTTGAAACTGTTTCATTGCTATTTTATCTTCTTTTCTCATTAAAATGAATTAAAAAAAATAGATTCTACAAAGCCTATTAATCCTCCAGTTTAGTATAAATTATTTACCAAGGTAAAATAATTCCACTATCATGGCAATTTCTATAAACCAGAGCCACTCTCCTAAAGGGAAATTATATGAAATGTAAGAAAAACGTAATAATGCTTTTAGAAAATGAGGAAAAGTAATTTCCACATTGGAGACCAAGCATACTAAATACTTCATGTTCACCTGGCCTTTGTTAGAATTAAACTACCTGTTCACAGAAGTAATCGGAACATAAATATCATGAAACCAAGCTCCTCAAGTGTTCAATTTTAACCTCAGGAGAACCAACTAAAGAGCTTCAGAATCCAACAACAGACTGGTCACAGCATTTATTCCTCTGTTCTTCACCTAGTTCCTTTAACTCTTTTTTTATACTTAATGGCTTAACGGTTCTCCTTTTTAAAGTCCACATCTTGGCTTCTTTTTTTCTCCTTTTGATGCTTAGGGTTTTCTGTACCGCCATGTACAGTTTCTGTTTCCTTTGTTTTCTTTCTTTGGATACTTTCGTGTTCTCCTAAATCCACCCCGTCAAGATTTCTTTTCCTCTTGGGGTTGGGCTGCTCCTCCTTTGGTTTTTCTTTGCCTTTATCTGGGTCCTTTCTTTTCTGATCAGTGGCTTGATGGACACCAGTCCTGGTTCGTCAGGAGAGGTGCTCGGGGCTTCTAGAGTCTACACTGGTTGAACCATGATTATATTCTTGATAGCTGAGCTTCAAGTTTTTTCTGAGACATAGTCTTCTAGGGTATTGACAGCTTGAGACTATAGTCTCAGCTTATTGCCATGAATTGGGCACTACTGAGGTAATGGGTTTTCTGTCTGTGAAGTATTGCATGATTTTCGGTAAGTCTGGATGGTTCCAAATGGGAGTCTTCGATCAAACATTGTTACCTGGGTCTGGAATCAACTTCTTCCCAGTACATACAGCTTCCCTCATCCTTCTGAAATAAGTCTTTGGCTCTAAGCCTCTGGCTTTCTGTACTTAAGTGTAATCTTCAAGTTCACCTTGAAAAAAGTTAGGATTTTGAATGCTTCCATAGGGTGATGAAAGGGATTCTCTTTGTCATGCTGAGGACTGACTGGAGAGAGCTGACCATATTATCTAGTACTTGCTTCAGTTTTTCAGCATGAACTACCCCCAAATAGCCTGTACAACAGTCAGGATACAGTTAAAAGTATGATACAGCTAAAAGTCACGATGGAGAGATTACAAAATTTATTTTTGTCCAATATTCTCCCATTCACCTCATAATGAAAATCTATATATTATTCAAATTAACACTATTCCACAGATGCTTTTTATTAGAAGCACCTATAAAGTTCAATTTTTCTTCATTCAGTGTGGTATTTTGCTGAGGCAGAAACAGAATCTCTGACTACTGTTCCCTTTCTAACCAATGCCACAGGCCAAAGGACAGGTGGTGGTAGAGTTCCCAGATTTTTTTTTTTTTTTTTTTAAGTAATTGAGATTTGACAGACTAGCAGTGTATGTATCTAAAAAGACAACCACTGGCCAATATTAAAAAAATCTTAAAATGTTAATCAAACCTAACAATCCAGTAGTAAAATAAAAAATACCATGAGCAAAATTCAGTTTATTTCAGTCATGTAACACATTTGTGTATTCTGTCAAAATAGTAGAATAAGGAAAAAAAAAATTTTATATATATAAAAAGTTACTTGACAAAATTCAAAAACCCATTTATTCTTGAAATATTAACTAAAATCTTAATGGGGAAAAATTAGAGGTATTCCCACTAGAGTCAGAAAAGATAAGCTTGGCTACTGTCACCACAGCTCTTTGAAATTGTGTTGGAAGTGTAGAGGTATTGGGCAACAGTGTAAAGGAGACGATGTGCTGACTTGACACCACTGGGAAGGAACCAGCAAAACCCAAAGTACTTGGAAATTTACAGCTAATTATAGATTAACAGACATACTAGTCAAATACCATGTTTGTATATATTTTAGATCTTTAACAGTAATTGTAAGATAGAAGTTGAGAACATCTGAACATTGATTTGATCAGGTATCATGATTTAGTTGTGATAATGCTGTTAAGCATTTATGCATTTTTTTTTTTTTTTAATTTTCTGCAAAGGTGTATTCCACAGAAGACGCAGTCTTTCTTGGCCACTGCCTTCCTTATGGTGGCCAGCACGTTGCTCAGCTTGCATTTCCTCTTGGCATGGATGTGTGTGCCCACACTTTTCTTGATGAACTTCAGGGCACATTTTTCCTTGGAGACTTGAGCAGCTCTATGGTACCACTCAGGGGTGAAGCATCACACCTCCCAGTCTTGTCCTGTACAAAGTTGGTGTGTTTGATGAGACTATGCCTCAGTTTGTGTGCATTCTTTGTCACCTTGTGGCCCTTGTTGAGGCCCGTAGCCATGGGATAGCACAGAGCTATGGCTCCTGTTCTTCATTGGCTGCTGTTTTAAAGAGTACTTATAAATACATGACATGCTTATGAGTATAATAAAAAGATGTCTATTATTTGCTTCAAAATTATTTGGAGAAGAGTAGGATGTAGGATGGGTCAAGGTGTAACAAGAATGGCCATGAGTTGATTTTAAAGGGAAGGGATATAATGGAGTTCACTAAAGTACTTTATTTTGTGTATGTTTAACATTTGCCATAATAAAATAAAATTGGCCAAGTGTTGTAGCATATGAATGCAATCCTAGTACTTTAGACGGCTGAGACGAGATAGTCTCGAATTTGAGCCTAGCCTGGACAGTTTAACAACATCCTGCCCTAAGTTAAAAAATAAAAAGGGCTGACTGAGCACATAGCTCCTTGCAAAAGTCCTAAGTTCAGTCCCTAGTACAAAATCCATTATGTCCTTACTTGCTACTCTTAAATTTAACCTTTAGCTAAATATAAGCTTGAAGAATCCTTGTGCACTGGGATAGGGACACTGGCTTTCTTTGGGTCTTACTATATTTTTATTTGCAAATTTTTTGCTATAAAACTAAAAAGTATAAGCCAACATTTTCTAATCTTAGTTTTATACACAGTTTCTGATACTTGATTAAGTAAACTAAACCTAGATTTAACTTTCATAGTGACATCTTAGTCAGAAATTCAAGGGCCAGCCAAATAGCTCAGTGGATTAACGTGCCTGCAAACAGGTGCAGGGGCCGGGGGTTGGATCCCCAGGCCTGCGGTGCCGACCCTGCCTTTGGGGTGTGCTGAGAGGGCAGTTGAAACTGGGCATGGTGGCAGGTGCCTGTAATCCCAGCTCATGGGAGACTGTAAACAGGCAGATCACTGCAAGTCCAATCTAGTAGTGAGACCCTGAACACCCTGTGGACTCCTCCCTAAAATACCCCCCCCCAAAAAAAGGAAAGAAATTTAAACAAATGAGCCATTATAAAAGTTTAATAACTTTCTTTTTGAAGCAGGGTTTTACTGCAGTTCAGGCTAACTTTGAACTCACTTTGTTGCCCAGGCTGGCATCAAAATTATGATGATCCTCCTGCCTCAGATGGGCAAATGCTGAGATATCAAGCCTGGCAATAATTTTTTAAAGAAATGTTCCCTTTAAAATTACTTAATCTAGAGAGAATCATAGATTTAAGTTTTTAACATTTTTATACTAAACTGGAATGTTTTGCCTAATGTCTTGATTTCATGTTTTTCAGATGGATTTAATGCCTTTTATTAACAAGGCTGGTTGTGAATGTCTTAATGAAAGTGATGAGCATGGGTTTGACAACTGTTTAAGGAAAGATCCGAGCTTCTTGGAATCTGACTGTGATGAACAGGTAATTGAGTGCTTAAGGCTTATGTGGATTTTCACTATCACTTTTGTTTCTCATGTTCCTGTCTCCTTTTTTCTCTTACTACTGATGATCACTTGCTTATTTCCTTTTAGAGGTTTTAATTTAACTCTTCCCCTTTAGCCACCCAGACCCTCATTCCTTTTCTGTTCTGTGTGAGGTGAACACATAATTTGGAGGGTGGTACACTAGGGAAAATTGTAGAACTCTTGGATTAGACCCATTGTGAAATTTGGTCCTTTGTTCATCCTTCATTTGTCTTTGTGTTTGCCCTGCACAGGTAAGTTTCTATCTGAAGAATAGAGACTGGTTAGATGACCAGACCCTCTGCAGCTAGCTCTTTATTCCCAGATAGAAATCTACATCATTTTGGACATCTGAGATGATTATATACTTTTCAGATGAAGAAATACAGATGGCAAGTAAATGTATGGAAAAATGTTCAACATCATTGGTCATTCAAGAAATGGAAATAAAAACAACACTGAGATTCCATTTCACCCCAAAAAGAATGGCTGACATCAAGAAGTCAGCCGATAACAAGTGCTTTAGGGGCTGTGGGGGAAAAGAAACCTTTCCTTCTCCACTGTTGGTAGGAGTGCTGACTGGTATAACCATTGTGGAAATCAGTGTAGAGATTCTTTAAAAGCTAGGGTTGAAGATCCCAATCACGCCAGCTATTCCCCTCCTGGGAATTTTTCCAGCAGAACTGAAAATATATCACAGCGATATATGTGCACCTATGTTTAGAGCAGCGTAATTTGTCATAGCTAAATCCTGGAAACCTCCCAGATGCCTATCAACTGAAGAATGGATAAAGAAGATGTATTTTTATACAATGGAGTATTATTCAGCTATAAAACAGGGTAAATTTGAGGCTTTTATCAGTGAATGAATGCAACTGGAGACCGTACTCTGAAGTGAGATAATTCAGACCTGCATGTGGAAACATCGTATTGTCTCCTTAGTGTTAGAACTTGAAAGAGAAAATTGAATCTGAAGGGTACAATAGACACTGGGAAAAGGGAAATGAACTTATTCAAAAGGAAAGGATTACTGAGTTGAGGAGAAGGACAGAAGAGGGAGTGGGGGAAAGAGATGTATCTGTGTATGTAAGGTGGATGGCTTGGACAGCTGTACTGTGCATTAGTGCTATTCTGTGGAAAGGTGCTGTTAATGCTTAATTTGTTTTGTCTCCTTTTTTCAGTTGTCTTTTTTTTTTCTTCTTAATTTCTTATATATGTGTTTTGCTTCCAATTTTGCATGCATATATTTAGTAATATAAATTACTAGTTGGAAGACTATGTGTTACAAGGAATACTGTGAAATTCATATTATTTTGTTAAGTGAAGTTCTGTATCACTTGTAATTTTTCTGTTTTAATACTATTTTGTACTTTCTTTAAAAAATAAATTAAAAAAAAAAGGGCAGCAAGATAGCCCAGTGGTCTAAAGCGCCTACTTGGGCAAGCTTAGGCAGGTGCAGGGGACTGTGGTTCACAATCCCCGACACCACGTGCCACGCTAGCCCCACCCTCTGGGCAGGCTGAGTCAGCCAAAAAAAGAAAAAGGAAAGAAAGAAGTCTGTACTTTTTTTTTTTCCTATGCTACTCTGCATTGTCCTCGCCACAGACCAACTGGGGTATAACCACCTTGATCAGGCTATCTGTTCTTTCATCTGAGTGTTACTTTCCTTAATGTCCTCTGTTTCATTATCTCTAGTTTGTCCTTATTCTAGTTGTATATTAATACAAAAGTTATTTCTTGAGTTTATATGTCTGTGTGTTTCTCTTTCATAAGTGATTCTTCACTGACTTCAAGATGTCTTGCTGATTTGATCTGTTTTTGACTTTTCACTCTCATCTCTTGCATTTCCCTTACAGTGCAGTTCAGTTCTTTGTATGTGTTGTGCTTACTATTTTTTGACACATAGTTATGGCTCCAGTATAAAAATTGTTGGTGACGGGCCAGCAAGATAGCTCACCAGACTAAGTGCCTGCTTAGGCAAGCGCAGGGACCCAGCACCACATGCTTTGCTGGCCCTGCCCTCAGGTATGTTCAGCTGGCAACCAACACGCCTGTAATCCCAGCTCTAGGAAGGCTGAAAACAGGATCACTATGAGTCTGAGCTGTGTAGTGAGACCCTGTACCAAATACATCAAAAAAAAAAAAAAAGAAAAGAAAAAACACTACTGGTGGCTAGGGAGATAGCTCGGTGGTCTAAGTGCCTGCTTGGCAAGCACAAGGACCTGTGTTCAGTTCCCCAGTACTGCATGCTGTGTCAGTCCAGGCACCAGCCAACCACTGAAACTGGGAATGATGGTGCATGCCTCGGATTACAGGCATATGCCACTACGCCCAGCTTAAATCAGGGTGTTTATTACAGTTTTGAGAGTATCATTCACATTGTATTTCTTGTGAACAG